GGTTGCTCGGGAAATGCCGAGCAAGACGACTCCGCAGTCGCGATGGCATCAAGGCGGTGCTAGCATCGCGAAGGCCCGGACCAGCTTAACGCTGGTAGCGCTAACTTGGAGCGCTTCAGCGCGGTCCGCCGCGCCCCCTTCCACGATTCGGGTTCCGCAGTCATAATTTCCCAACAGTGGCGGAGGTAGTGGTGGTTTAAGAAAAAAAAAAAAGAAAAAAAAAAAGGGCGGCCTTGACATATTACCATTGAGCTGACCGGCCCCAAGCAATTCATTAGTAGTTGGTTTTACTCGTCAAGTTCCATCATCTGGATACGAACACAGGTCTGTATTTCAACAGTTCATGGGTGTACCCACTGACCTAGGCTCTTGGCTGAATATGACATCACCGGTGGTATATGGTTCTTTCCTTTTTAATCTGGCTAAGACCTGGATAGGGTCGGTCCTATAGCTGTCCTCTTCTGTGAAAATACGAAGGTATAGCTGTCCTCCTCTGTGAAAATGCGAAGGTATACCTGTCCTCTGTGACAATGGGAAGGGTGTCCGTCCTCTGCAAACATGCGAAGGACCAGTCATCATGAAACTCCCACTTTCGCTGTACCCGTAGTCCCCGCTATAACACTCTTCAGGTAGGCCACCGTGAACAACGTAGCACCTTGATGCAGTCGCAGGAACCATCTACACCGCAGCCTTAGGGCTCCGAATACGTAAGGTGATCAGTTCGCTGTGGTGGTGTGAAACCTCAGCTTCGAGGTGGGGAATGTTCTGTCCTGGGTTGTGAACAGTAGGAATGCAGGAAATGTTCGTTTCTGGTGTGTGTGTGTGTGTGTGTGTGGGTGTGTGTGCCGGATCGCAGCTAAGGTTCGTTGCTGGTGTGTGTGTTCAGAAACGCAGGAAAGGTTCGTTTCCGGTGTGTTTTTTTTTTGCCGTAACGCAGGCAGGTTCGTTTCTTGTGTGTGTCTGTGTTGTCATGTTCGCTATAAACAACTCCACAAAAGAAAGCACAACTGTATCAGACTGTGTGTGTGTGTTTGTGTGTGTGTGTGTGTGTGTGTGTGTGGGAGAGAGAGAGAGAGAGAGAGAGAGAGAGAGAGAGAGAGAGAGAGAATGCCGTGAGATGACAAATGAGAGAGGAAGGACGTGGGTTATTGCGGTTGATTGAAACGTGGTATTGCAGTGCGTTTCGAATGAGAAGATGGTAGAGACGGATTCTCAAATTTTGGTTGTCCGTTAGCTGCTCTCTTCTTGTCTTTGCTAATGGTTAATTCTTTGGAAGGGTTTGCGTGTGCTTGAGTCGGTAATATAAGCTTAATTTTTTCACTCATCTCGATTGGCAGGTCTGTGTTTGGCTTGGTCGCGTTGTTGCTGCACTGTTAAGTCTTTCCCTGTTGCTTTGCTATTTCCTCGAACGATGATGCTAGCATCACAGGCCAGCGACCGATAGACGAGTAAAACGGAGAGAGAGAGAGAGAGAGAGAGAGAGAGAGAGAGAGAGAGAGAGAGAGAGAGAGAGAGAGAGAGAGAGAGAGAGAGAGAGAGATGGGCAAAGGTAGGATGTAGGTCAGTGAGGTTGATTGGAACGTGGTATTGCAGGTCGTATTGGATGAGAAGGTGGTCCAGATGCATTGTGAAGTTCCGGTGGTCTGGCGGCTTTTATCTGTGACTTCTTTATGGGTTGGTGGTTGGAAGGACTTGCGTGTGTTTGAGGCGGTAATATGAGCTTAAACCTTTCGACGCATTTGGATTGGCGTGTCTTTGTTTGGCGTGCCGTGTTGTCGTTGCAGTGTTGTGTCCTTCCCTGTGGCTTCGCTATTTCCTCGAACCAACTGTGGAGACACCCAGGCGTCCCTGCGGGGCGGCCTCTGGTGAATGGGCTGAACTGAGACAATACTGTTTTCCGTGTCGAAGTAGTGTGGAGAAGACGGGTTCCTTGAGTTGATTGGTCCTTGTGAAGGTGGAGGGGGGACAACGTTCGGTTCGGAGGTGTAACATAAGTAAGTAAGCTTCTCGCCTGTTGTTATGTAGGCGGCTGTCATGTTATTGATTATCTGTCGGTACAGAGTTAATTCCTTGATTAACGGTAAGCAGTCAAACGGGGGGGAGAGGTGAATTCACCACAAGGGTAGAAGGAGGGGGGAAGCGAAATGGCGGGAAAGGGTCCTGACTGGGCGGGGTTATTGAAATGGAGTGTGAAACAATCAGACGGAACGAGACCGAGTCGGCAAATAAGCGAGGAAGATCGGAAATGGTTTCAAGAGGCGATGAGCGCCCAGACCATCGATGTCATTAAACGGATGAAGGAGATCACGATGGTCATGAACATTCCAAGTGAGACGCTACAAGAACAAGGAGTGACCGTTGAGGAACTGGAGTCCATGCTGGAAGAGCTGCAGGACCATGTGGAATGCATCGACATGGCAAACGATCTACACGCCATTGGGGGACTGAAGCCACTTTTAGGGTTCCTTCACAGCAAAGAGCCATGCTTGAGAGCACGGGCGGCGGAGGTGGTGTCGACGATGGTGCAAAATAACCCAAAAAGTCAGCAAAATATTATGAATGCTGGTGGGCTCGAACCGCTGATTTACAACTTCACATCGGATGAAGACGTTTTGGTGCGAACGAAGTCTCTGGGCGCGATCTCTCAACTCATTCGGCACAACAAGGCGGGACTTGAGGCGTTTCGCATGAGTGCTGGTTTTTCCAAGCTCAAGGAGGCTATGACGTCCGATCATCCAAAGTTGCGGAGAAAGGCTCTCTCGGTGCTGCTCTACGTGATCGAAGCGTCGCCTTCCGATTCGAAAAGCACCATCCGATTGGGCTTCGTCAAACCGTTGGTATCGATGGCTAGTAGCAATTCCAATTGGGAGATACGAGAGGCGGCGTTGCTGGTCCTCCAGGAGCTAGCGCGTCGAGGTGGGGAAGAGGTCCAGGCATGTAAAGAGGAAGGGATGCTGAAAGAGAATCTGACGGCGAGGATCGACGAGATCGTTCAAGGCAAGGGGGATGCGTCGATGGAGGAAAGAATGCTCATTGATGCTCTCTGGCAAGAATGCTACAAGCAGACGTCTCCGTTGAGGGAGAAGAGTTTGTTGCTGCCCATTCATTCTGGAGAACGACCTGTCATTTCAGAGGAGGCAGTTGGGGAAGCGGGTAGCTTTGAGAGGGATGCTGCAGGAGCGGATGAGCAAGTTGCAGCTGCTGCTGCAACGACTGCTCCTGCTGGTAGTGCAGGCGAGAAAACGGCGGGAAGCACGGATTCGACAGGGCGAGGAGCAGAAGGAAGAAAAGAAGGAGCGAGCCCTGTGCTGAGCCTGACGGCACCTCCTGGAAGAGGATGAAGGCATGATCGAGTGCCCTTGCAAATTGGGAGGTCGCTGCTTTTACTTGTATTCTTCGCGCCCAGCAACATCTTGTACGACTCGACGAATTCCGAAGGTGGATCGATGAAGACGAAGAGTGGTGCATGACGTACTGTACGGTGGAGACGCAGTGGAGGTTTTGAAGTTTTATCTGTCGAAGGTGCTGAATGAAAAAGTGCGTGAGCGTACCCTTCGTTCAACTGTCCCCTGGCTTCCAGAGTTTCTCTCTTCTTTCCTCCACGTCGTTTTTACTGTGTTCGACTCTCTCTCTCTCTCTCCCTCGAGCCCGCGTCACCGTCATGGCTCAGTGCGCGGACTGGGGAGTGGCCTGGATGGTCAGATGAGGAGAAGGAGCACAGGCTACTAAGTAAGCTGACGATACCGAAACTTGCAGGTCGCCAGAATGGAGAAGTACAAAACCGTGGCCCGGCGGGAGAGGATAGTGGTTGGAACGGCCTCTCACAGACGGTAGGTACATGCGTGTTCTCCCTTCCCCACTCCCCGGGCGCCGAACGTTGATGAGTTTGTTTGATCTCCGACTGTCATGGAAGGTGTGAGACTCTGCCTTTCGGAACAGAGTGGGTTGTGTTCAGCCTGCTACCTGGAGAGCGAACAGGTTTGCTCTGAAAGCGGGTTTCAGATCTCTCACGGGCTCAGAGAATTCAGGATATCACAAATGACCTCTGCCTAGCAATCATCTGCCGGTACGTAAATAAATGCGTAGGTGGGTGGAGAGGAGCAGATCTCCATTTCCTTTCTTGGATATTGGAGGAACTATATAGAGCGCGCCTTGGCGGTCGTTTTTTTAGGTTTCTTTTTGCTTCCCAAGAGGTTGCGTTTCCATTTCCCATCTCCCCCCCGGCCGGTAGCTTCCCCTTGAAAAGGTCCGTTGAAAAGAGCACATGGGATTTTGTTCTGAATACAGGGCAGTAAAGGCAGGCTTCGATCAACGATGAGGAAGGGAAGTCCAGCATTGTGGCGCGTCACAAACCAGAAAGAGAACAGAGGATGGAATTCTGGACGGTTTTTCTCAGCGAGCATCGGTGTACAAATGGAACGAGAAGAGGACGGATGGAATACCCTTTAATCAGGAAGCATCGACAGCAAGTGACAGCAGCATGAATGCTATGAGCTGCCTCGTGGAGATACGTATGTATCTGTGTATGGGTGGATGGATGAATGGACGAGTTGGATGGTGGATGGGCGAGTGAAGGGACGGGTTTGTTTTTCTCTGAGGACCCAGACCAAGAGCTTCGGCCGCGTCACAAGAGCGGCGTTTTTCTTGGCAGAATAGCAACGCCTGTTGGATAGGGAGGCAACAGCCGTCAGCTGGTAGAGCTTAGTGTGTAAATGATTTCGTTTTAACATGGACAGGGAACACAATGAGAGGGAAACGTAGCTTGTGTGTACGTTTCTGTTTCTTGCGAAGGACCATGTTGCAAGTCTGTTGCAAACGGTTTTCTACTTTGTTGTAGGTATGTGACGGTATATCTATATGTATTGAACAGGGGGCACACCCTATGGCTGCAGCAGCACGTGTGTTCTCGCAGGCAATCTTAGGGGAGGCCAGTCGAGCTTCCTGCGTGACCCATGGTGTCGGATGACACGGGAACAATAGCGGGGTGTTGTCAGATAAAAGCATAAAATCGAAAGTGTGGATCTTTTTCAGTTGCATTGTATGCACGACGTTATGTACTCTCTCTCTCTCTTCCCCACATGAATGTGTGCACATGCAAAACCTTCCTCCCGTCTTCTCTCTCCCTTGCTCCGCTCTCCCTCGCGTCCCCCTCTTGTCCCTCTCGTCGCTCTCGTTCCTCTATCTATATCCCTGGGGAGGCCATTCTCTCTCTCTCTCTCTGTACCAAGAATCGTATGTGTCATTGCTGTCGCACAAACTGACTGAGGGGGTTCCTGGTTTAGGTTGCAGGTGCCAGTTCATTGTGTCCGAAAGTTCACTTGGAAACATCTCTCCTGTCATAGCTGTCACACAAACTGACTGAGGGGGTTTCTGGTTTGGGTTGGAGTGCCAACTCATTGTGCCCATCTGTGTCTTTAGCTCACTTGGAAACATCTCTCTTGTGTTCGGGTGACCCTTGAGTATGGTTGTTGTGACCATGTCTGAACAACGTCACCTTCATCTGCACACTACTAAAATGCGATTCCGTTCTTTCTGTTCTCTTTTCTGTCTGCACTGAGGATTGACGAATGGTATGAAGTAAAAGAACAAGCTGATCATTTGGTGCACCCTCTATCGTGAGACTGTGGCCTCTCAACGAGACCTGAGACCTGTCCAACGAATGAATGTGCCTTGCCGCTGCAGCTTTCTTCCCTTGGGTTCTCTCTGTTCCCTTACCTTCTTCACACCGTCTCCTTCGGAAATCCATCTTCACTTGCCCCTCTCACTTCTCTCTCTCCTCTCTCTGTTTCTGTGTATCTCACGCCATACCTGCCCTGTTTCTTTTTACCTCTCTTCCCACTACGCATGCTGTGAATGCACACCTCTATTGTAGCTGCTTTGCTGCTAATTAGACTTCAGCGCACACACATTCTTTATTTTTGCCCTTTCATCACCCGTGTTGTTCCTTCATTCTGCTCTTGTGTCTGATTCCAAGTTTGACCCTGACGGCATTCGTCTTGTGTCTGATTACAAGTTTGGCGCAGACTATTCGTGGCGGCAGAGTGCAGACACAGGGCATGGCCGTACCTGCAGGATTGTGATAATTCCCGGGTTAAATCATGGAACATTGACCGGAACAGAATCACGGGATTCCACATCAACGGACAGGAGTATCCATGCAGGTAAGGCCGTGAGAAGCAGATAAATAAAGATTCCACCAATCCTTCTCATGCAGAGCTTCTCGTGAGAAGCAGATAAGACAACGGGCTCTAGATCAGTGAAGTACATGTGCTCAGTGCATGAGCTCATCCAATAGATTTTGGTTATTTTATCCGCTCGTAGAGATGAGCTGACACGCAGTCTAAGCATCGTTTGGCTAGCAGCCCCTGCTGTCTGGTCAAAGGAGGTAATAGTTATCAACTTATTTCCTGTCGGCTCTCAGTCATCATGTCGATTAGGTGTAGTCTGTTGGCTCTCAGTCATCAGGTCATGTCAATTAGGCGTAGGCTTGCTGAGCCTAGCCCTGATCCCACTGTATCAGGCTCTGATAGCTTCCGGTGTCGCGAACTGTGTCTGCCCTGCCATCTCAGCACCGCCAAACAAGTTGGACCAGGTAGCCGAGTGTGTGTTCGCTGCGTGACCTGCAGGCAGCGTCAGTCGTGAACAGCAGCAGTAGAATGCCTGCAGCTGTCGAATGGCAGCAGCCTTGACTGGCTGTTGTCCACTTCCTCCCTTTTTTGCCTCTCACCTGTAGCTCCACTGTGCATGCCTCCCTTCCACCACCTGTTGCTCCACTTTCTTCCCTTCTTGCCTCTCTCCCTTGCTTCCACCTGGCACACCTTTTCCCCTCCCTGCCTTGCACGCCTTGAACACCTTGTAGGCCTTGAATGCAGAATGGGGTGTCAAGGTCAAACGCTAGGGTTTGTAGCTGCCAAGTGGCAGCTCCCCTGGACGCAAAGTGGCACGTGCGCATGTGCGCATGGCCTGGGCCGCTTCCAAAAAAAGACTGGTACCGGTGGTAGGCCCAGGCTGAAATCCAGGCCCGGCAGTGCCACTGGACTTTAGGTTCAATACCAGGAACTAGTAGCGCTGTTCTGAGACCAGCACCTGTTACTGTTGCTAACTGACCCACCAGGGCACTCAGGTCTGGTAGTATTAATTCCAACTCCTGCAGAGGCCTCTGAAGCTCCCTTTGCAGGTCTAGATCTCAAGGACCAGGTTCAAACACCTGTCCTCATCCAAATTGTATATCCCAGTCAAATCAGAGCTGCACAGGCTAGGGAACAAGGTAAGCAGATCCTCAAGTTTAGACAAGTAATGGGTAAAATATCTCTCTCAATGCAGGTGCTTGTCTGGTGCTTGTTTAGACAAGTACAAAATTTGAACTTCTGCAGTCAAACTGCACATCTGGGCATTGCAATGTCACAATTTTTTTAGTGTTCTTCTGCAGAGTAGGAAGTTTCAATGATTTGTCTAATATTTTCGCCACAAAAAGACCATCTTCTGGGTCGACCGTCTCAGGTTTTAAGCATACAAGTAAACCTGCCGCAGCAGGGGGAAGGCGGGTAATTGAAGATGGGAATTTCTCACCAGAAGGTGAATGAAGACAGCAGTAGGGTAGGTGGGAGGGCCGCTGCTTCACTGCGGCCCAGCGCCAGCCCCACCCCTCGCACGGCGATTATCTGGCCCGGGCGTCATTGAGGGTGTTTGTTTTAGAACATGAGGGACGCACAGCATTCGGGGGGGGGCGTTGGCTAAGGCATCAGCACGCCGACGGATCCTTTGTAAGAACTATTTTTTTGTGGTCGCTGCTGGATTCGAACTCACGTGGGCATGTGTGCAGCAACTGAGCAGCCTGCCAATGTGCAAAATGAGAAGGAATCTTCCGCAAGAACATAGGAAAGATACACGACGGCGGACAGATACACTGAAAAGAAGTTCGGGTGTCTGCGCGCGCATGCATGCAAAAGAGCTGTCAGATGCAAATGTCTATGCGCACGCATGCATGCAAAAGAGAGAGAGAGAGAGAGAGAGAGAGAGAGAGAGAGAGAGAGAGAGAGAGAGAGAGACTTTTCCATCTGTAGGATGAGCAAAATGGGAATGACGGTATAACATCAAAAAAAACACTGCCACATTTTCGGTCTTTGGGGGTGTATATTTCCATGTTGTGGCAGTGGATGCTTCCATGTTCTAGGGGAAGATTCAATCCCATTTTGCTCATTTGGTGAAGGGTGGCAATGTAGGTCTGTCTGTGTGTGTGTAGCATGAGCAAAATCGGAATGAATCTTCAGCCAGAACATGGAATATACATCGCCACTGTGTGTGTGTGTGTGTGTGAGAGAGAGAGAGAGAGAGAGAGAGAGAGAGAGAGAGATACACACATGCAATATTAGACAAAACGTGCGAGGCTTGACTTTCACAGAATACACATCCTGCCCATGGCATGCGACGAAAAAATCCGTCGCGATTACCCTTCTACCTCTCTGCTCAGGTAATCCTTTCAGCCACTGTCTTTGAATATATACCCTATCATCCTTGTCCTTCCCCACCTACTTGTCCTCTTTCCCTGCGGTGTACTCATCACCGTTGTCGCTGTGTTTTCCGTGGTCGCGCTCAGTATTGTCCTTCACGTCGTTGATTTCCCGTAGTCGTTGATTTTCATCTTTCTGCATATAATCTCCTGTTGCTGTGTACGGTCCAGTGCTTCTGTCTGTTTCTAGATTTCCGTACTCATACATTTGGCGGTTTCTCCTTTGGCCGTATTTCTGTCTTACCCTTCCGTACTTTATATTTTTGCTGGATTACTAACTTTCATCCGGTTTTGCTTGTTGTTTTTGTCTTTCATGCGGCCGTGGGTTTCATCTTTATATTTCAGGTGAGTACTTCCGTTTCATTTCTTTCTTAGTGTCGTTTGTTTATCCTGCACTTGGAAACGAATGTATTCCCTGGATTTTGATTCGATTTGTTTCTCTGCATATGTACTTGGAAACGTATGTATTCCCTGGACTTTGATTCGATTTGTTTCTCATATGTTGGGAAACCAACGCGGTAATTCTTGCATCATTATATCTGCACATTTATTTTATTTTATTTTATTTTATTTCATTTTATTTTTATTTTATTTTATTTTATTTTATTTTTCTTTTCTTTTCTTTTTACTTTTTCGTTTTTCTCTCCGTTGGATTATATCGTTGTATTCCTCGTGTTTCCTCTGCTTCCAAACACTTCCGGAATACATCCCGGACTTTCGCGTCTTTGCAGTTCCTCATGAATGCCAACATCGACGTACGGGTTATCCTCCATGGATACTCCATCTGTCTGAGTTCCTTGCAGAACATCTTCATTACCGGGATTAGATCTGTGATATCATATGTGTTCGCCACCATTCTGTGAAACGTGCCGATTATTGTCAGCACTTTGGTCTTTTCGGAACCCACGCTCCTGAAGTGTCGCAGAGTCCTGAGAGAGAGAGAGCTCAACAACCCCTCCCGGAGTGTTGCTTCATTCTTCAGTTTATGTGAACACTTCAGGAGGGGTTCGTGATCCGACCTTGTTATGGTGGTTTCCAGATATGTCCATTTCATACTTTCTTTCTCTGATGTTGATTCCAGTTTCAATGAATGGTGATAACACGTTGTGAATGATTCCATGCATGTTCGTTCCTTCTCCTGGTTTTCTTTCTCTGCTATTATTATGATCATCACGTCATCAACAAATCTCATGCCGTGGATGAGTTTTCTGTCCATTCCAATTTCAGAACACCATGTGTTCATCATATGCGCACACCATATTTGCTATGGGTGGGCTGGACCCTTTTCCCATCGGCACACCCTTCACTTGCCGTAGTAGTGTTCCTTGTACTTTGAAGTAAGCATGTTTGATGTCATAGTACAGCAGATCAATCAGACAATCAATTTTCATCGTTCTCCATCCATAGGTACCGTTTGCTTTGCCGAAGTTGATGTACTTTCCTCTTTGTTTGTAGCATAGGTGCGTTTTTCGTTTTTCTTTTGCTTTCTCCAGCATCCATTGCA